AGTGGAGGGGGGGCCTCACCTCCTCTAGGTTCTCACCTCCGCTAGGGGGGTCTGGGGGATGCTCCCCCGGGAAGACAGAACTGTAAACAGATTTTCTTTTTCTTTATGGATATTTTACAAATCACTCCCCTTTCAAACTGTATTCTTGTTTTACTGCCATATAGTATTTCATACCTGTTTTTCATTTGTTCTCTTATTGTTTGTATAACTATAATGATCATATGAAGGTGTACCGCGGAAATAATCTTTTGAATAATTTGTGACAAAACCGTTCTAATCTAAACACTCGGAGTCCTTTAGCTCACCTGAGCCCCTCAGTCTGACAGGGGAAGACTCTCCTCCAGCTTGTTGTGGAAACAGCTCCTTATGTCCGTTAGTGCAGCTAGCTAAGCAGATGCTAACATCACGGTCCCCGCTAGCACCGGTCCCTCTTGCCCTCTCTCTCTATCACACTAAATGCGCTATTGCCACACACACACACACACACACACACACACACACACACGCACACACACACACACATGTATTTCCATGCAACTCTCTGATTGGTCTGGTGACTTGCCTCTGTTGCATTCTTTACATCTAAAAACATATTTTTCAAACATTATTATTATTCAATTCTTTCTTTTGTTACTTTTTTTGTTAACGGTCCGCGATCTACCCGCACCACACCACACTTTTAAATGCAATCGACTGGTTGGTGACCACTGCTCTAGAGTAATAACACAGTGCTGTATTGATTTGAAGTCATTGGCTAACCTGACATTGAACCTATTGGAGACAACTGAAATTATCTTCTGTAAAAAAAAATGTAAAATGGATTCATGACACTTCAGTTATCACAAAAGTTGTGCCACATAACACACATTACACTATGCTTTGTTCATATGATCATATTAGCATGTATTGGGTGATTGTTTACCCCTCACTTTGTTTCAGCACACTGGCATCGGATCTATTGAAGTTATGTGGTGAATCCAGACCCAGAGGCAAGGTACTGTACAATCCAACATGGCTAACTGATATACTGTAAACATCTTAGTAGACAAATGATCCAATATGCTGTATACCAATTCTGTTTGACATTATTAAAACCACATATTTTTCTATTCAAGAGTCGTTATTTATAGGACCTGAATTAATGACTAACTGGTCTGTTGACTTGTGAGTCAGACGAATATTGAGCCAAACACTTGTGCTCCCTCAGGCTCGCAGACGGACCACCACCCAGATGGAGCTGCTGTACGCCGGCAGCGGGGACTGTGACTCCCCCACCGGAGACTTCCCCCTGCTGCCCCTCTCAGAGCCCCTGGAAGGGTCTGCGGACATGCAGGGTCACGCTCTCAGTCAAACCCCTGACTGCGAGCAAGCTGTTCCTTCATCTGCACCGTCGGCCCGACCAGCTGGCATGTAAGTGTTGGGGGCAACATTTCCCAGTGGAAAACAGATATATCAGGATATTTCTCTCTGTAATGTTTAACTATATTTCGGTTTTGTCTCCCATACTAATAATACAAACGTTTTCCATCTATTTTCCTGCCTGCAGTTCTGGAGCCAGGTCACCTACAGGGACAGAGAGGAGGCCGGTGGAGCGTTCGCCCCTCAGCCGGAGGAAGGGGCAAGAGAAGGGCGCCACGGCAACGCACATCCCAGGACCCATACACACACATCCGCCTAGCACAGCAGAGGCTAAAACTAAAGGCAGTGACCACAAAGCACTGTGAGTGAGAAGTGACATGTGAAAAGTGACAGAAAATGATACATTCATATTCATTATAAGAATATATGTTCCTCTATTTCTGTGTTAAATATTTTATCAAACCTGATATCATTTAAATAAAACATTTTCTAATTTTAACCATCGAAATTGCAGTATTTTTAGCAAATTTCTGTATATTCTGTCTATTTTCAGTCTAATTTTTATCAATAATTGGCAACAATTTAGATTAAAATGCAATCTAGATCAAAAAATGCAAAAAAACAAACTCAGCTCTGCTCATAATTACCATACATTCATAATTTGTTTGGGAAATGTAACCTTATAAATTCCAGTTTGTTTACATAATAAAGTTTTTTATGGAAAGACTAAGATTTTGAAATGTGTATTTAACATTTTACTTTATATTACTTTGCTTTGTCATTCAGGTTGGAGGACTCACCTGTATATGAAGGCCATAGGTAACGTTCATCTCTTACTTGGTCTTTTAAAATAGGAATCGATTTTATGTCACCTTTTTTAAATGCAAACATAAAGTTACCTCCATTTTTTTTCTACGTATCACATCCACTGTAGTACTACTAGCCATTAGTTACAGCTCTTACCATATCATGTGTGTTTCAGAGGTGTGATAAACCCTGTGACGGCCCAGAAGAACAGCCGCGGGGCCAAACTGCAGTGTGTGTACGTAGCAGAGGGCCACACCAAACCTGTTCTCTGTGTAGACGCCACAGATGATCTGCTCTTTACAGGATCCAAAGGTAGAAAATGTCAACTCATGAAACATATTGCTCTCTCTATTACTTATTTTGTTTATTCCCTTACATACTGTATACTTTGTGTGTGTGTTTTCAGACCGTACGTGTAAAGTGTGGAACTTGGTGACGGGTCAGGAGATCATGTCTCTCGCAGATCATCCCAGCAGCGTCGTCTCAGTCAGGTATCAGAACGCAGCAAAGCACAAGCTAGAATAAAATTAGAACTTAGTCATGGCAAATGGGGCGTTTTTGGGGAAATCACAGAAACAAACTCCAGACATTTCTCAATGTCTGGCCTTAGAGAAATGACCCCTTTTATTATATATGTGAGGAATTCCATATCCTTATTAATTGGGGAAAATAACTAGGTTTAGAGTATGAAATATATGCTTTATAACTCCCTGTTAAAACCTATTAACAATTTCACATAACCATTAACTTTTTTTTTTTAATTACCTATTTTTTAAAATATTTTTGTATAGCATTTATTTACTTGGTTTACTATTGACTAATAATGCCTGTTACCTATCATTGTGATTATGTATTTGATTTGTTTCATTATTATTCTGGAGGGGGTGAAATGTACATTTATCTTTCTGGAAAATCTAAAATGGCAATCAATATATTTGTAAAAGAATATGGTGATTTTGACGAATAATAATCATCCTTATTTGTTCTTTTTATATTTTAGGTACACTTCTAGTCTCGTCTTCACTGTATCCACTGCTTACATAAAGGTGTGGGATATACGAGACTCCGCCAAGTGTATCCGAACATTGACGTAAGAACAACACTTCTTCTGTCAACATCTTAAGCTGCACATACTGTATAATAACGGAGGATATCATAGAATGTATTTTTGCATCTTTTTGGATGTCAGGTCATCAGGACAGGTGGGTTCAGGAGACATCTGTTCGTCCGTCAGGAATTTATCCATCCCACCAGGAGAGAGTCAGATCAACCAGATCGCTCTCAACCCTTCAGGCACCTTCCTTTATGCCGCCGCTGGCAACGCTGTGCGCATGTGGGACCTCCGAAAGTAAGTGCAAACACAGATTAGAGTCTAATAAGCATTTATCAAACATGAAGACAGAATTAATCTCCTTTCCTTTCTCTAGGTTTGCGTCCACAGGGAAGCTGACTGGCCATCTGGGACCTGTCATGTGTCTGACTGTCGACAAATTAGGCAACGGACAGGATGTGGTCCTCACTGGATCCAAAGACCATCATATTAAAGTAAGAGACACGTAACTGTGATTGCATTCTGTTTGTATTCCATACAACCTCACAAGTTTAAGATGTATCATGGAAATATGTGTTTCCAGATGTTTGAGGTGGCAGAAGGCGCTCAGGGCAGCATCAGCTCCAGCCAATCGTTCGATCCCGCTCATCAGGACGGGGTGGAGTCTATCGTGGTGCACGGGGACGTTTTCTACAGCGGCTCCAGAGATTTCTACATCAAGAAGTGGGACTTAGCCAGTAAACGGCTGCTACAGGTACACTGATCACAAAGCAAAACATGTGGAGCCAGAAGATTTTCCCCCTTGATTTCATATATACAGGTATGAGATCAAAAGAAAGTGGCCAAATGGGCTCAAAATATATATCAAATCATTAGATGGAGGAATAACATAGTCTTTAAAACTCTCAAAAATATATAATGTTTGTTTGTGGCAATAAATATGACTGAATGAGTTGCTGAAACTGAAAAAACGACAAGAAACCCACTATGTTCTGACGTACAGAAGTCTGCACTAACTAATGGGCTGTGGTTTCTTCTAGCAGTCAGTCAGTGCGCAGGCAGACTGGGTCAGCGCTCTGGGCATGGTGCCAGGCTCTCCGGTGCTCCTCAGCGGATGCAGAGGAGGGCTGCTGCGCCTCTGGCACGCCGACTCACTCGCGCCCCTCGGCGAGGTCCGGGGACACGACAGTCCCATCAACGGCCTGGCCACAAACAGCAGCCAACTGTTCACTGCCTCAGAGTGAGTCACAAAACACACTCATCTGAATGTTCTGTTCTTTCTCATTATCGCTAAACGTGTAAGGATTCTATTAAAGTTACTGTATTTTGAAGGTTGAAACGTGATTTTGATGTTGATAAAATCACCTGACTTTCGTTATTTTACTGTGTGTTTTTCGGCAGTGATCGCACAGTAAAGATTTGGGAAGCCAAAGGATCTCTGGAGGAAGGAGTCCACTGACCCCTGCTTCCAAATCATCACAGAACGTACCTGAAATCAAGGATTATCTGCAGGCCTTTATCCAATCAAAATGAATCCTTTGTGAAGCAGCTACACCACCCATGACTTGATGAAGTGTTGGAAAAGGAACCCAAAATACTAATAATTCCCGAAAGTGTGAAAAAAACAACAGTGGTATTTCAGTGATGCCCCACAGGGAACAGTATCAGGGAAGTCTAATTAGATATGACGGCTCTCAGTCTTAAAAGCTGAGTGTATCTACTGATATTTTAGGTCAAGACAAATCACAGGGGAGCCCCTCTAAAACTCCAAGGACTACAGAACAGCTGAGACGGACAGCATCTTTCATAGCTGCAACAAAACAACACAATTAATATCGACTTTTGTGTCAATCGATCCAGGAGTCGCTCCTGTGCTTTCAACATTCCTCTTCTCCGTTCAGCGCTAGACAACATGGATACCTTCTAAGCATATTTCACTGTAGCTGGAAAGACAAAAAACGTGTCTTGGTGAAATGCTTTGCTTCCTTGCACCAATTGTTGGTTGCTAAAAGAGTCCCAAAACATGGAGATGTCCTGCTCACCAGCAATAACTGTGAGTCTATCCTAAGTGTTCCCATGATGCGTGATGTGTTGTGTCTTCCTGTATTGCTCTCCAGTTCGTTCTTTGTTTGTGTGCTCTCCGTAAGCAAGGACCAAATAACTACTGAAGCGGAGTATGGTCTTATTATTCAGCTGTTACTGCCAACCCTCTCATGAGAGGCCTCTAAATAAAACATATCCTGCTCCTTTGACAAGGTCTGACAAAAAAATGTATTCGATAGTATTCATCATATCAACTGCTGACTGATGTTATGTTTATTTAAATATGTGTATCATGGCTCATCACTGATATTATAGCCTATTGCCTTACAAAACCCAAACGCAGTAACTGCAAACAAAATATTTAGCTTTAGCTTCCTTGTCTATTTTAACTAGTCTAATGAACTCTTGTATGATTTAATCCATTTAAATGTGTAATTTAAAGTGGCTTGACTACAACAAATCATGAAGATTCAGTAGCGACAACAGACACTGCTGGTCTGGTAAGCCAGACTTGTTAGCTTTTAGAGGAAAATGGTTTTCTTTTTTCTCTATAACAATCTTGTTTAGCTACCAACCTTATGTCTGTGGACTTGAAACTAAATTCCTAAGATGACAGAGAATGAAAAAGATCTGGTTTTGAATACAGGAAACAGAAAAGATAAGTTAGCTCTCACTAGCTAGGCTAACTAGCTAGCCTTAACAAGGGGTTTTTACTTCCAAGTTTTTTAGGATTTGTAAATTCTGTGGCATAATGATTTTGTAGCTGGTAAATCAGATGTCAAAAGTAACATTGATAAGTCCATTTATAATTTACATAGAAGATTAGTTACTGCGTTTTGGCTTTGTATGGCAGCATAGCTTTTCAAGCAAAACTCAGTGTTAAAACCCAGTCAGAGTAGCTGTTACATCTGGATTAAAATGACCTCAATGTTTTTCCAAATGGCTTCATTATTTCAGTCTGATTTATTCACAAGTAGCAGATGGGTTTCTGCTTTCAGTATTCTCTGGGTGATAGACAGACAGTTTCCTTTAAGCATTTAGTTTCCTTCGCTGAATCGTTTTTACTTTCCTGTCAGCATGCTCCTGTCTGGCAAGGAAACTTCACTTCCAGGGTTTTGATTCTTCAAGGTTACCCACTGAGACTTACTTTCCCGAACCTTAAGTAGCTGTGCAAGTATGCTTTAGAACACTTTTGCTGGATTCTTAGCTATTTTATGACAAGAGAGGCTGTTTGTTATATAATGAAAGCACCTTCAATTCTTGATCATGGGACGTGAGATTTATTTTGTGAAAGCATCTACCCCTGAAAGATGTGTGTTTGTGATTTCAGTCCAAATGATGCGAAACACTCATCTCATTTCTCAGTCCTGTTCATCTCAACTCAGTGTTTTCACACATTTTTCAATACTCATATCAGATATCATCCAATCTTTTGAATGTGAGTCTTCATTTATTTATTCGTTTGATCGATTTTGCTGATGTGTCTTCATTGTAAATCTGAGATTTTGAACTCATTCCTGCCTCTGATATCCTATCATTGTTTAAGATGAACTGTGTGAAATATAAAAGATGGATTTCTGCATAATGAGAGATGAATTATCAGTGCCTGTAATAAATTCAACTTTGGAAAGTGACTGTATTGATTGGATATTCGAGGTATGTTAGCGATGCTCTAGTCAATAGGACAACAAATAATTGCACTGAAAAATCAAATTATTCCCCATTGCCTCATAGGAAGTGAATAGATCAATGACTGAAACTGGTTTTCACTTTTGACTTGAATTGCTTAATGAATGATTTGAGTGTTTCTAATTCCTAATGAATCTTCTTCAAATCGTGATTATCCTTCAAAAATGTACTGTAAATCTGTTCTGTAAATACGTGTTTTCTCCCTGCTGATTCTCGTGCACAATTTCATGTGATTGAAATATCTGGTGCAGTGTGAAAATACATTAAAAAATAAAAAAATGTTTTACACGTGGGTGCCTTTTTTTTTTTTTTAACCATGCATATGAGCGTTATGACCACAGGGTGGTAGTACTGTACAATGACGTGTACTTGTAATCTTATTGGATTTGATAAACTGGAACTTTTGTTTCCCTGTATCCTCGGAATAATTTACATAATCTCTGTTATGTTCTTTCCTCACTATCATTTATCTGTTGATGTTGCCCTCCTTCTTCAACAACAACCAGAGGCAGTAAACTGTAACATAGGATTGATTGAAATACATAGAGGGGAAAAGAGTAAGAAACTACCCCTGAAGAAGACAAATTAATGCGAACGGTGATGGAAGGATCCATATTTAATGTCCAGCTGTACTGAGAGCAGCAGTCTGTTAATTGGCCTCAAAGGAGCAACGCATTGTCTCTAGGCTGACTCATGCTGCCTTCCTGTGTTGTTTGTTGAACTGTATTCCTCTGCACTTAATACTACTGTCATAAATGCTTTCCGGTGATATAAGAAACGCCACAATTGATTTGATTTCATCATCAATCTCTGAAGCCATTGGCTTTTGGTCCGCCGACTAGACTCTCTGTGGTATCGATCTTCTCATCTGTTTATTCTCCGTGGTGGATTTAGCAACATGTAGTTCATGTAGTTATCCATGTCCACTTATTGCTGATGGTTGTGGTAGAGGAGCTGTAGATGTTGCATTAACATCTGTAGCATGGTCAGTAGCAGTAACTTTACTGACCATGCTACAGCAGTGAGCAGCAGAGGCGGGGCTATGGCTTCATTGTTATCAGGAAATGATCGTATAGGACGTACACACGGAGCCGTTAGGCCCCCCAGAGCGTTTTGTCCGCAGCTCTACCCACCTTGGGAGGGACCCGTTACCGTTTGAGAGTTCCGTTTCCGCGGTTCCGTTACGGCCTCGTGTGGTCGAACCGTCCATAGATAGAGAACTGTAGCAGATACAACCCGTTTCGTGGACGGGGCCGTAACTCGCCAAGGAAATGATTAAACATATATTTTTTCCAACATCAACTCTAAGATTAACCCTAAATAGTTGTCATTTTTATCAGAAACATTTCTCGAAAAACAGTAAAGACAGTGTGACCTTCTATCAAACTATCAACGCCCAATTGTTGGTTTACTAATGACAAGTTCCTGGAATACACCTTCAACTCTAGCTTTCACATTTCACAAATATTTGTCCAACCAGCTTCTCAGGAGGTTTGTGAATCCTAGGTCTACTCACATTCTTGGCAAATTACAAGCCAGATGATTAAATTCCACCATAAATAAATAACAACTTTTCGGACATAGAGCGTGGGAGAGAGTTCCACTTTCACTGTGGCATAATCCATGATGAATTTGGATAATATATCCTCTAATCTGTTCAGTGAACAGATTGATTTGTGGTGTGTGGGGGCTTACACCGGATGCTGTTGTTTCACAGTTAAATCCGTCTTTAATGCGATGTGTACAGCTGCAGGTGCTCTTTCTTTCCTGGGGGATTCAAACCCATTAAGGTTAATATTGGTGTGATGTCTGTTTATGTGTTTTTGCCAGACTCCCTTTACAAAAAGAATGACTTGAAAACAGCAAGAAAAATGCATGTATCTAACCATGGAGCATCTTTTCGGCATCATATGCTATTCCCATTATTGTTTGGCCATTAGTTTATGCATTAGAGTCTTTTACCATGCATTACATTGGTTTTAGCTTTGGAGGAAATCAAGAGGGATCATTCGAGCAAGAATGTTTTGTTTTCTTGACATTCAGCAAGCTATCTGCGCAAACACACTACTAATTTCCATTTCTTTGACAACCAGAAGGAAACAAACGGAAAGACAGAAATGGTAGGAGAAGATATGGCTTATATAGACACAGAAATAAGAAAAAGGTTTTGGGGGGGAAAACAGGCAGGGACGGCTAAGTGGCAGTTAAAGACGTTATTTTGAGCGCCAATGAGGCTCAGGAGGACAGGGTCAATATTCACCACCCCGGCTCCTATCTCTGAGCGTCCACAGAGTGAATCCTCCAGCTAAAAATACCAGCACCGCCGCTTTATGACCAGAACTGATGAGCCGTGATACTGCTGCTTGCTCTCTTAATGCGGCTACAGAATCCAACCTTGTCCCCTTTCGAGCAAAACAGATTGGAAAGAATAACATGTTTTAATAAGCCATTAAAAGCGTTTTGGAGGCTTTGAATACATTTAATTCACTGAATCAGAGATTTAGCTGATAGTGAGAGTGTTTGCTTTTGTGTACCTTTCACAAAGGTAAGCTCTCCACATTGAATAATCTGCTCTTGATCTGTCCATGTAAGTGCAGGTCAGGATCAATTGTGCGAGAAGTGTCGTTGACTTTTGAAGCAGGAGAGCTCTCCACTTCAAATTTCTGTGTAGTCTAGAGTAAATGAGAAATAAACTACCTACCTTCTACACAGCAGTGAATCAAGGCTTGGCTGTAATAGAAAAATGTAAAGGAATTGGTTATCTTTTTTCTCTATACAGTTGAGGCAAATAGAAAGGTCATTTATTTGACAGGTATTGGGAATGGATGTATAAAAAGCATGAAAGGATACAGTTGCTGACTTTTGAATCATGGGGTACCAACATTCTGCATCTTAAAGCTGTTGTTTTGGACCCATTTCTGCTTGACTTTACATAGACCTGCCTTTATTTAAGTAACGGATAAGTGAGGCAGTCATTATTGAAAGAAGAACACCACCATGGAGATTAAGATCCCAACGCAAAATTAATAACTTATTATACACAATATTGATTTTTAAATGATTTTTTAAAAATAAAAATGATCTTATTACTTCCGCTAAGGAAATAATTGTCCATTCCTTGCTTAATAACTTCTCATGTAAACATCAGCAAAGCAATATGTTTGGCTTTGTTGAAAAAGACAGGTATTTTTAAATAAATAAAAACACTCCAAAGAAAGTG